AGGTACCTCTGATTGGAGAACACCTCTGCTCCATGTGGTGACTCAAGCTCCTTTTATCTTGTGGTTCTGTCATCTTAACATGTGGCTTCCAAGTTCATCATATTCATTCACATTCACAGATAGAGGAGGAACAAGGATGATAATATGAGGAACTCTTGAAGGCCAGGTCTGGAAATTATGTACACTTGGCTAAAACTCAGTCTTACAGATATTCCCAACCACAATGGAGGCCAGGAAATGTAGTCTAGCTGTGTGCTCAGGAAGAGGAGGAAACAGATTTAGTGAACATCTAGTCAGTCTGTTTCATAGGACTATAGAACCCCAAAAGATCCATGGGTAGACGTTAAGGGGTCGTTTAAGCATACAGAAAACATATGGGAAATGTTGCCTCCATATGTATTTTCCTGGGGAGAAGAAGGGAAGGACAAGCCCTGATTCTATTGACTAGCAATGTAGGTTGGAAGAAGTCAAATTTAAGCTGAGGCTTAAAAATGTGTCGAGATGGGGAGGGTGGGATAGAAGGTCAGGGCAATCAGAGCAGAAAACACCACCAGCAAAGGCACAAAGATGGGATAGTACAATGAGTATTTCAAAAACGGCCAAAGGATCAGATTAGCCATTGCACTGAGTTTATTTGAAATAATATCCATTTAGTTGGTCAGTCAGCAAGGACATACTGGCCCCTCCTAGGTACCAAGTGCTATGGTAAAACTGGCTTTATAAAGATGAGGAGAGACAATGCAATAACAAAGAATGGCAAGTGTTGCTAAGGACGTAGAGGATACCATAAGAGCCAACTGCAGGACATCTACCTTACCTAAAAGGTTAAGGAAGACATCCTAGAGGAAGTGATGTTCAAGCCGAGCCCTGAAGGACAACTTGTATTGACATCAGCTTAGCTAAGAGTGAAGGGAGAGGCCAGATGCAGTGGCTTACACCTGCAATCCCAGCACTTTGGGAGGCTGAGGCGGGTGGATCACCTGAGGTCAGGAGTTCAAGACCAGCCTGGCCAACATGGTGAAACCCCATTTCTACTAAAAAATACAAAAATTAGCCTGGTGTGGTGGTGGCTACCTGTAATCCCAGCTACTTGGAAGGCTGAGGCAGGAGAATTGCTTAAACCTGGGAGGCAGAGGTTGCAGTGAGCTGAGATTGTGCCACTGCACTCCAGCCTGGGCCACAGAGCAAGACTCTGTCTGCAAAAAAAAAAAAAAAAAAAAAGTCTGAAGGGAGAAGAACCCTATTCCAGGCCTGGAGGCATAAGAAGAGTAAGTAGAATATATGAACACTTGCCAGAAGGCCTTTATGGTAAGGACAACAATGCAAAAGGAAGCCTGACATGAACAAGGCTAAGAGGTAGACATAGCCCAGATGCAGAAGACTTTGCATGTTAGGAAATGTGGATCCTAAGGACAACAAAAAGGGCTTTACGAGAAGTAAAAGAAGTAATCCTGAATTAAAATTATTCCAGCTGCAGCATGGACAATGAATTAGAGTGGCGCAAGACTAGATGTAAGAATATTTGTCTTGGGGACTCCTGTTCATCATCTAGACTGTGGTAATGATGGTTCTGAACAGTTTTTACTCTCAGCACTCCTAACAGCAAATGTGTGGGGTTTTGTCTCCAAATCAAACAATGCTCCAACTTTCTGGACATCAAGTGGGTGTCTTAAAATTCAATTCAGTTCTGGCACTAACTACTTGGAGTTAACATAGATCCCATAGGTTAAGGGCTCAGCCCCACGAGACTGCTCCACTTCAGATGCCAACACAAGTATTGAATATCCAGGGTACCCAACCTTCTACCCAATTTGGCTACAAAGTCAGGGATTCCCACGGACACAAATATTTACTAGAGTGGCTCAGAGAACTGAGAAGAGCATCTTACTATTACTGGTTGAGTATAAAGGGTACAAATGAACAGCCAGGTGAAGAGGTACACAGGGTGAGATCTGGAAGGATCCTGTGTTCAGGAGCTTCTGTCCTAGTAGAGTTGGAGCACACTACCCTCCTAGTACGTGTGTGCCTTCACTAATCCAGAAGCTCTCCAAATCCCATCATTTAGGGATTTTTTTTTTATGGAGGTTTTATCATTTTTTTTAACATTTTTTTTAAATGGAGGTTTTATCATACATGCGTGTTTATTAACTCAATCTCCTATCACCACCAATTTTTCAGGAAATTACAAGAGTTTTAGGAGCTCTGTGCCACAAATTATGGATGAAGATCAAAGATAAATTTCTTGTTCTATCACAGTGGTAGAGATGCAGAAAGATAGATGGATTTGAGAACTGGTATGACCCTTAGAACCTAATCTTTGATTGGCTATGGAAGTTAAAGAAGAAGTCAAGAATGTCTACCAGGCTTTTGTCAAAAGAATGGAGTAGATAATGGTGATATCTAGCACACTATTAAGCTACAAATCAATTTTACCAAGAAGATTTGTTTGAGAAATCAAGTTCAAACTGAGGTTCAATTTGAATTGCCAAGTCCAGGTATCCATAAGACAGTGGGACTTGTGGAGAGAGAAGAATGGAACTCAGTGGAGAGGTAAGAAATGGCAATATATATTTGGGAATTGTCAACAAGGTAACAGAAGCCTTGGAAATGGATAAAAGTTTAGGTGGAGAGTATAGAGTAAGCAAAAGCAGGTATCTTTGATGGATACCATATGTGAGTGATAGGAACACAGAGCCTGCTAAGGAGACCAGGGCATGACCACGGAGTAAGAAAAGCAGAGCTGAAGGAAGGGAAAGGAAGAGATTGCTTTAAGGAGCAGTCAATAGTGTCAAATCCTGCCATGGAAAGGTTAAGCTGGATAAGGATAAAAAGTGCTCAATGGATTTACTGACAAGGTGAGAATAATTTCAGTGAAGCAACAAGAGCCACGGCTGCACTGAAGTTTGGTAAAGAAATGGGCAGTGAGTGCAGATAGCCGATTGGAGAAGCTGATTGAAAGTAAAGAGGATAGTCACAAGAGGGGAATGTGCTGTCAAGGAAGTGTTTCTGTTAATATGGGAGAGATTTGAACATGCTTATGTGACAGCTTTGAGCACCTGAAAGAATGATACCAAAGTGTGGAAGGCCTGGAATTCCATGTAGAAAACTTTCTTCCAAGGCAATGAGCCATTCAAGGCAAGAGAATGGCATGTTCATGGTCCTGGGTAGGAAGAAATACCGTGGAGCTGGGCATTACTACTTTCGAGGAACATCCTACCCTAAAAAAAACTCGTCCTGCTTTATAAAGGAAGTATGTGCTTAGTTCTGGCTTCTGGCTGAAGGTCTCAGCAGAATCTTTCACCATGTTTTTTTCTGGCAGTCTTTACAGCATTGCATCAAAATTATTGTCTAATTATCTTAATTTTCTTACTAGGACAAACATCTTGTTAAGTTTTGTTTACTTTGCAATTATTCCAACCTTAATATTACAATTGGATAGATTTTTAGTTCAGCAGTTAGCCTCCTATTTGATAAAGGGCAGTGCCAATGCTGTAGGTTTTTTGTCCTAAGATCCTTAAAGCAACTTCTTCCTCACCACCCTCAGTGTGTCAAACTCTGTCATAAACAGCACCATAGGAATAAAAGGGAAACCCTCTTCAGGTGCAAATTAGTGCGTGGTGTGACTGAGGGGGATAGAAGGGATTGGAAGTTTTATATATTAAAATGAAAGAATCCCAGTCATTATATTTAAAGCAAAAGCAAATCTCAAAGTTGCTTCATAAACAAGATTTATTACAAGACAATAAATTTAGACCCAAATGGCAAGGTCTGTGAGCCTCGATATCTCCTGCCTTATTCATAAATCACAACATTGATCAAATATAAATTAATGCATGAATGTGTATATTTGTATACAGGAACTCATGAAACCTCAATATGTAAGAATGAAGTAGAAAGCAATTTTATATTATAAACACCTACATTAAAGCATTTAGCTTTTTTTTTTTTTAATTTTATTTTGAGACAGAGTCTTACTCTGTCACCCAGGCTGGAGTGCAGTGGCGCGATCTCAGCTCACTGCAACCTCCACTTCCCAGGTTCAAGCGATTCTCCTGCCTCAGCCTCCTGAGTAGCTGGGGCTACAGGTGCGTGCCACCGCGCCTGGCTAGTCTGTATTTTTAGTAGAGACAGGGTTTTGCCATGTTGGCCAAACTGGTCTCAAACTCCTGACAGGTGATCCACCCACCTCGGCCTCCCAAAGTGCTGGGATTACAAGATGGCCCGGCAAAGCGTTTAGCATCTTAAGAAATCTTAGCCAAGTGGATCTCTGTGAGACTTATGTACATGAATCTATTTCTTACATCTCCCCCTCTCAAAAGAAAAATGTGTGATGAACTATCACTCCTGCTACAGCTTTTGCTTTGGGTTCTTAGCAAGAGAATTGGGAAGACTAAGGAGTGAGCATTACATGGTAACTCATGAAAAGAGGTGGAGAGAAGAACTTTCAAGGGTTTCATTTGTATTTCCTTCCAATGACCAACATATCCTGGGAGTGGCTGCTGTATATTTCATTTGGTTTTCTCCCTTGATTGGATTTGTTTTTTTTAGAAGTTCTTCCCTTCAAATAATACTGTTTAAACTTAAATATCAGACAGCAAACATTTTTGTATATTCTATAAGTAAATGTCTAGTTGTATAAGCTATTCACTGACACATTAAAAAAGATTTAGTACCTTTTATCAAAATATCATGAAATGTGTCCATAAGGCGTATCTCAAAAAGGGTGTCGATGTAGTAAATCAGTGAAAATTGTCCGTAATTGGGAAGGTAGGGAAGGAAAAGATCACTTTTCAGCATGGGTAATGGCAAGATTTCTTCTATAAACCCACCTCCTCCAGGGCTTACTGCTACAAATGTGTTGTTAGAGAAGCAAGACACAGGGTTCTAGGAGGGGTAGGGAAATCTAGAAGTAACAGGAAAAGTTTAGTGTTAGCTAAAAGTCTCTACGCCTTTGATCAGAAGGGTGAGGTAGGACTGTGCAAATGTGCTATGGGCACAAAATGGGGAATGCAAGTCACACTTTAGCCTTCTCCATCTTGGTAACAGCCTAGACAATTTAGAAAAGTATGTGTTCAATTAAAGCTGACTCCTACGAAACGAGTTTAAGGCAATTAGGTATAATAAGTTAATCCAATATAGAAAGTGTCCCGTTATAATTTTAAAATCAAGAAATTTAGAGTACTTACTTAGTAGTACTTGAAATGTGGTTCGTGTGGAAAGAACTGCTGGAAGTGTAAAACACACCCTGGTTTCAAAGGCTTAGTGCAAAAGAACTATAAAACATTATCAGTAATTTTATATTGCTTACATGTTGAAATAGTATTTTGGACATATTGAACTAAGTGTATTTATTAAAACTATGTTTCTTCTTGCTTTAAAGGGGTCATTTAGAAATTTTACAATTACATTGTTACACTGTATCTGTAGATATAGGACCACGCTGCTGGCTAAGATTAACCTGGCAGGACTTAGTACTGAAGGGATAGATGGGCCGGTCACAGCCCTAAGATAAAGGAAAGTTAATAGGCATACTTTTTAACAAGCCATTTAAAAATACCCCCTAGAGGCCAGGCGCGGTGGTTCACCCCTGTGATCCCAGCACTTTGGGAGGCCCAGGTGGGAGGATCGCTTGAGCCCAGGAGTTTGAGACCAGCCTGGGCAACAGGGTGAGAACCCAGTCTCTACAAAAGATAAAATTAGCCAGGCATGGTGATGCGCGCCAGGTATGGTGATGCACTAGGGAGGCTGAGGCCGGAGGATCACTTGAGCCTAGCAGGTCGAGGCTGCAGTGAGCCGTGATCATGTCACTGCACTCCAGCCTGGGCGACAGAGTGAGACTCTTGTCTCAACAACAACAAAATAATAACCTATAGAAAAGATAGCCACAGAGTGAGATCACCTGAGCAATACTGTGGGAAGAGTGTCTAGGGAGGAGGAAACGGGGATTCATTTCTTTAAAAGCACCAAAGAGCTGGACAAGGTGGTTCACGCCTCTAATGCCAGCACTGTGGGAGGGCGAGGCGGGCGGATCACTTGAAGTCAGAGTTCGAGACCAGCCTGGCCAACATGGTGAAACTCCGTCTCTACTAAAAATACAAAAATTACCTGGGCGTGGTGGCACGTGCCTGTAATCCCAGCTACTGGGGAGGCTGAGACAGGAAAAACTTTTTTTTTGAGACGGAGTCTCGCTCTGTAGCCCAGGCTGGAGTGCAGTGGCGTGATCTTGGCTCACTGCAGCCTCCACCTCCCGGGTTCAAGCGATTCTCCTGCCTCTGCCTCCCGAGTAGTTGGGATTACAGGGGTGCGCCACCACGCCCGGCTAATTTTTGTATTTTTAGAAGAGACGGGGTTTCACCATGTTGATCAGACTGGTCTCGGACTCCTGACCTGACCTCGTGATCCGCCCGCCTCAGCCTCCCAAAGTGCTGGGATTACAGGCGTGAGCCACCGCGCCCGGCAAGGGAAAGCTCTTGAGCCCGGGAGGCGGAGGTTGCGTTGAGCCAAGATCGTGCCACTACACTCCAGCCAGGGCGACGGCGCTAGACTCCGTTTCAAAAAAAAAGAAAAGCCCCAAAGAGCTAAAGTTCAGCACCTGCAGGCTGCTGGATGTAACCACCCTGCCGGCAGAAAAGCCGGGCCAAAGGGGCGTTGGGAGCGTTAGGCCACGAGGGAGGAGCATTCCCGGGTCCGAGAGGGAAGGCCCGGGAGCCACGCGGCTCAGGAAACCGCCCCCGCGAGGGGATAGGAGGATATTGCGTGGCCCCTCCTTCCATGACTCTTCTTAAGGCCCTTCCTCTGAAGGGGGCGATCTCATCCTCAACCCGAGGAAACAATGCCCTCGAACCTGCGCCTGCAGCTCTGCTCCAGGCCGCTCACACAGTGCCTTCCCTAAAAGAACTCAGCCAGACCGGCTACAGGGATGAAGGGTTGAGGGGAAACAAATTCAGGTGTGCGCTTCGACCGCAGGCGCCTGCGCCAAAACCCCGCTTGGCCCTTAGTTTCAGCCTCTGCAGCAGCGCCTTCATCCGCCTCCTTTTTCCCGCCCCCGCCGGAGACGTCACAAAGAGTGACGTGTAAAGTGAACAATCACAGTCCCTCTCCGCGCGTGCCGGGAGGAATGGAGAGGGAGGTGGGCGGGGAGAGGACGGAAGGAGTGGGCTTCGGGAGCTGGCTGGTCCCGGTCACCCAATCAGAGAGCTCTGGGGAGGGGAGGGGCGGGGCCCGAAGGAGGGTGG